CTGAACATGAAATTCATTTTAATATTCCAGCTATGGTGGGTACAAAGAAATATTTCTCTAATTCCAATACTAAGTCAAAAGGCAACGGGAAGAAGTATGCTCCTATAGGCAATGCAACAACATTTACTCATCTTTAACGTGTAAGTCAACTTCTCCCTTTTGCAGTGGCTAATTCTATCTACTTTCTCCATATTTATATAAATATGAAATCCACATCTGGTACCAAATACCTAAGAAGTTTATGAAGTAGACGTAAGCCTTGCAATATTTCTTCCAATGACCTTTTCATTCTATAACGAAAATAATGGTCATTAGACTTGGTATTTGTCCTTCGCTTTGACCATCTCAGCCATATTACATGCTTTCTCCAAAGCTCCTTTAGACTTCCTCTTTATACCCTTAGAAGAATCAACGACTTGCCCACTTCTAACTTTGTTATTGGGCATAACAGTCCTAAACATGTTAAGCAACTCAATGGCTGTGGATTTGAACTTATTCATATCATAATTCATTATTAGTTTAAATAACTCTCTGACAGAGATTGCAGAGCTAAGTCAATACTTAGTTCGTAGTTCATGACTGAACCTCTTTGAGGCAACCTCTCAATGACAATCATCTTCAGTACATGAGCATCGATCGAAGATTGCTCTGTCATTTTGCACCGTATAGTTGTTTGGAAGTCTTATATGCTTCCACACATGATTATTATCGTACAACTCTTTGTAATGAAGAATCATGTGTTAACATCTATAGTCTCATATTGCCTTTGTAACTTAGGTGACATAGTTGCAAGTATCACATACATTGCAACACTATTGTCGTCACTGTGCTTATTATAGCAGCCACCTTTTCCATAATGAGTCATCAGCGGGTGTCTCTAGAAAGGGCTACTTGAGGACAACCAATTTTTTTCATGCGTGAGAACAATTCTCAAATTACGTGCTAATTGGTTGTTAGCATTCAGTATGCCATTCAAAACATATGATTACTCAAGATTCAATATAAATGTAAATGATGAAAAGAAAAAGAATAATATATAAAATGCATCAATTAATTTAACATGGACTTCTATTAAATTAATTATACTCCCACTTTTTAACTCAAATTTATGACCCTCTCACATAAATTTATGGAGTACATACTTGACTCCCAATGGGTTGGGATCCAATCTGTTATATTAAAATTTTGAGTGTACTCAAATAGCCTCAATAAAATATTTGGGTAGATACTGTTATCAATTGTATCTCCATACAACTCCTAGATCATTAAGCTGACAATTATTTGTCTTCACACATCTTATGTGTTAGCTTAATATGCCTCTATAATTTATCTTCTTGAGTATACTCAACAAAAGATAAATTTTAGTTAACTCGGACCAATCATTCAGAAATATCTAATATTTCATACTGTTAAACATATCCATAATAGACCAACCTTGAGTGTACTCACACATCTTATGTGTTAGTTTAACATGCCTCTAAAATTTATCTTCTTGAGTATACTCAACAAAATATAAATTTTAGTTAACTCGGACCCATCATTCAGAAATATCTAATATTTCATACTGTTAAACATATCCATAATAGACCAACCTTGAGTGTACTCAACAATGATCCATCTCCATGGTCCCTCCCTCTTCTTGCTTTTTCAACTAGTCCAGCTGTAACATGTATCATATACTAGTTGGCACGCAGGCCTAAATGAAATTGGACTCCCAGACCCATAGTAACAATAAAAATAACGGATTCGGAAGTCCAAAATGATTAAGAGTTCGCAGGCCCATAATAATAACAATAATAATGGGTTCACTGGCTCAAAACAATTAAGAGCTCGTAGGATCATAAAAAGACAAAAATAAAACTAACCATTCAATACATCCACATCGTCGAATCCATAATCGTCCACTAATAATACATTCACCACAAAAATGTATTCCTATATAATATCTAATATTATATGCAAACACGTTTCAAGTTTCTAGCAATTAAGTCGTGATAAGAGTGTAAAATATAATATTTTCTCTTCTTAATTATTGCATTGGTGTGACTATTTGATACCAAAATACAATCATTATACTTATGCTTTGATTCAGGTTACATTTTGGTAAAAAAATGTGAAATTTAGAAGAAAAGAGCGAAAAAAGACCACAATGGAAGAAAGTGAAAGTTTAAGGACCAAGTTGCAAATAATCTAAAGATGAGACGGGCAATGGAATGATGATTCGAAAAGCTAGGAGTCAGTTGGATACAATTAGAAGTCAAAAGAAGTTAAATATCATCATAACATATTCACAAATCAAATTCCAACCGCATAAAGATTTTCCAAATTTTCAGTCAAAGATTGAAGTCCACTTTTGACCCAGTAAACGTTGGAATTTGGAAAAAGCTATTTCCTATCAAAATTGTAGCCCTTTGTGATAGCTTTTCAACGCACTTTGAATTTAATTGGACATCGGGAGAGAAAGTTATGATCAAAATACTGAAAATAGTCGCACAGAATATTCTAACCGAAAATTTAGTTTCCTTATTCGGTTCAACCTCTTTTGGAAACAACTTGGCACACTGTTTTAACCCCAAAGCAAGAGAGAATGGCCCCCAATGATCTTCGATCTCTTTTCTCTCATCTTGGGCACACGAACTCTATGGAAGGCTAAAATTTTGGTGAAGCCACGAAGGATCTTGATCGAATTTGGGGATTTTAACATCTTTTCATTCGTGTAACCTGCTTTTCAATTTTGAATAATTTTGGGATTTAGATTTCTACCTTATTATACTTTTGAAGTTTGTTTAGCTTTTATTAAATTGTTCATGGATTCAATTATGTTTTTTTCCATTGAATGACAAAAATATTTGTTGGATTTAAACATCAATTGATTTATTGATGTGATTTAATTACATTTTTATGCTTGAGGTATATAATCATTTCTTGAATCATATTCTAATAAATCAAAAGAGGAATATGTTCTTAGGAAGCCTAAATTCTAGAATTATAAGTAAAATTAAATTGATCTAGGTTTTCTTCATGAATTGGTTTTGAAGTGGTTTAAATCTTATTAGATTTTTTACAGAATTAGGCATGCTCTTTCTATAGTTTGATCGAATATATATTGAATTCCAATTTAAAATAATCTCATTGGTGTGATTCATTACTACCTTATGCTTGATGTATATGATCGCTTTTGAATCTGATTTCAATAGATCAAGTGGGAATGTATTATAGGAACCTAGATTTTTTTGTAAGATACATGAATGATTGGTGTTGATTGATCCAATCCAGGAGAATGAATTCTGGCGCTTCACTAATCTCACATTTCATAATTGAATCTCATTCCAATTGACAAATTATTTTCACATAATTCATGAAATTCTAATTCGATAAATCCTTTAAATAATTCGTCAATCTCCCTGTGGAATCGAACACCTCAAAGCTGTGCTACAACTACCGCGTTATTCTTTGGGCGTAATCAAATTTTGGCACCTTTGACGGAGAGACGGTACAAATACTTGAAGGATTCTCGAGCAAAAGTGTGACTTCGTCCCTTTTTACATTCTTTTAGCTAGTTTAGTTTACTTTCTTAATTATTTTGTTATTTCATATTTAGTTTCATTTTTTTTTTTTTGGTGTTTTATGAACGGGATTTTCTATCAAGGAGTTCTGACCCTTTTGTTCGAAATTTATTCGTTCGTACCGAACCGCTTGCAGAATCAAATCTTGTTCCACACGAGAGAGGGTGATTTATTGCGAGGCCTCAACCAGTGTTTGAATCTCTTCCTAACCCTCTCTTTGATACTGCCATGAACACCACACATCACATAACACAATGTCTGATAATGAGCATGGTAATACCCCTATAGGACCTTGATCACCTTCACCCCACACGCACATCTACACCGTCATGAATCATGTTTCCACCTAATATGCCACGTATGGACCTAAAACCGAGAATGATTCAACTTTTTTCCGATTTTCATGGTCTTGAAAGGAAAAATCCATACGTACATATTAGGGAGTTTGAGGTGGTGGTGGCAACCTTCCACAGTCAACATGATACTTTGGATGCAGTCAGGCTAAATGTTTTCCCATTTTCACTCAAGGAACGAACAAAATGTTGGTTGTATTCACTGTGACCACATTGGATTGGCACTTGGGTTGAAATGACCCAAGCATTCTTTGGCAAATACTTTTCCCATCATCAAGCAACTGCTTTAAAAAAAAATTCTTCTTTTGTCCAAAAGGACAACAAAACTTTATATCGAGCATGGGAAAAATACAAAGAATTGAAAGCCCTTTACCCTCACCACGGTTATGAAAGTTGGCGTGTTGTGAGTTACTTTATGAGGGATTATTACCTATGGAGCGCCAGTTTGTGGAAATGATGTGTAATGGTGAATTCGTAGAAAAGATCTAGATGAGGCTAGAGAGTACTTAGATAACTTAGCCGAGAAAGCCCATACCTGGACTGGACCTAGTGCCACTGAGAGTACTAATAGGTCACGACCTACCGAAAACACCACTAGCACATGCATTTATCATCTTAGGAAGGAGAATGACCTTAGAGCCAAGGTAGATGCCCTCACTAAAGAACTCAAAATCTTACGTGCTAGGGACTCAAAGCCTACGCAGAATGCAACCCATGTTGAATCTTTAGGACCGTATTTTGTCTGTGGTGGAACTGATCATCCAGCTCAAGGGCGCGCTACCTACTCTGAGATGAGGAAAGTCTATGAGGAACACTGCAATGTCTTAGGCACATACCAAAAGCCTTATTATTCCTTTTCTAGAACATACAATCAAGGATGGCGGAATCACCCCAATCTCAGCTGGAAATCTGAAGGCCAACCAAATAAAGCTCACATTGCACCTCCATATTAGCCCACGTCCTCTAAGAACTCTTTAGAAGACACTCTACATGCATTTATAGAGGAACAAAGTAAGACTAACCAAAAGTTTGATACTATGATCACCAAATTGTTGAAGAAAATAAGGAAATAAAATCTCATATGTCCAAACTAACTAATGCCTTAGCTGTAGGAGAGCGGGTAAAATTCTCATCGCAAGCTCAACTGAACCCTAGGAGGCAACACTTGGCACAAACTTTAGGGTCAGGAGAAAGCAATCTTAGAGAAATAAATGCCATAACCAATCGGTCTGGTAAGGTCATAGAACCAATTCTCAAACCTAAGGAAAATGAAAAGGTCCCTGACAATACAGAAGAGAGCACCCCTAGTAAGGAGGTGGTGAAAAATCCATCTAGAGTGCCTTTTCCTCAAGCTCTCAAGTCTACCTCAAAATCTGTCGGCCAACATAATGAAATCCTAGAGCATCTAAAACAAGTAAAAATCAATCTACCTCTCCTACATGTGATCTCCTAGGTTCCTACATATGCTAAAGTTCTAAAAGGCTTGTGTACTGTGAAGAGGAAACACCATGTCAAGAAAACTGCTTTCTTGACTTAACATGTGAGTGCTGTGATTGAGCAAAAGATCACACCAAAGTATAAAGGCCCTGGTTGTCCTATTGTCTCTTGCATCATCGGGAACCATGAGATTTCACAAGTCCTTCTTGATCTAGGGGCTAGTGTCAAGATCATGCCGTATGATATTTACTTGTCGTTAGGGCTAGGAGAGATGAAACCCACATTAGTAAGTTTATAATTGGCTGATCGATCCACTATTATGCCTAGGGGAGTAGTTGAGGATGTGTTGGTACAAGTTGACAAATTTTACTACCCTATTGACTTCTTGATTTTGGACCTAAAAGTTGATGTGAATGTTAACTCCAAAATTCCCATAATTCTTGGTGGACTTCTTCTTGCCACAGCTAATGCTCTTATCAATTGCAGGAATGGTCTAATGAAACTATCATTTGGGAACATGACCCTGGATGTCAATAACTTTCACATCATCAAGCAACCTAAGGAGGATGACGAGTGTTATCAAACATTCATGATTAATGCACTCGTTCAGGAGAAAGCACCTGCGATTATTGACCGCGAACATTTAAACACTTTCCTTTCAAATTCTAAAATTCTAGCAGGGTATGATGATGGGGAATATGCTAATATTTGTCCTGCCTTTGACGATTTGTAGGATTTTGGAACATCACCAGCGATTATTTCCACTGAGCTTGGTGCAATGCAAAGAGTGTTAACAACGCCATGGTTGGATGCGGGCTAAAGAAACAAACATTGGGTCGAGCCAACGACAATAAACAAAGGAGCTTCTTAGGAGGCAATCCAAGGGGAGTTATTTTCCCTTCTTTTGTCTTATTTCTGCATTTGTTAGGTTTATTTGCATCACATGCATTATTCACCTCATTCTAGTTTATTTTCTTTTTCTACATCACATTTTCCATTGAAGACTTTCAGGCTTCTTATACTTCAACTCATGTGATTCACTTCGGCACTCAGGTGACATCTTTCCTTACCTTTATATGGCAAACATTTTTTTCATTGAGGACAATGCAATGTTTAGTTGGGGGAGAGTTAACTTAAATTTTGTTGTGAATAGCATGATTTACATGGAATTTTGGTCTAAATTTTTCCTTAAGTCTCTATTTGCTACATGTTCATGTTTTCTAATGACAAAATATGCCATTAGAAGTTGATATTGTTCATGTGAGTCTAAATGTTAAGACACTTGTTGAATCATTTTGTGCACACAAGCCTTGTGGTAAGATAGTGGTTTAACACATGTAATTAGAGGAGTCTCTTGCTGAAGTTTTCTTGTGGGAGAATCGGTGATGATTGAGAGCCATATATACTAAACATGGTAATAAGCATTCATTGGTTTTATGACTTAGAAACTCTTTTGAGAATAAAGTTACATGGTTTGTGGTGTGATGGTTGATTACTTGGGAAATGATGACAGTCAATTTAGGATAAATTTTAACCTTTCAAGCCAATTTCTTGCATGATTATAACCCCTAGTAGCAACTTTGAGCCAATACACACACATGTCTAACATTTTTCTTCATGCACCAGTGCTATCCCTTTCCCTCTACATTGGAGTGAGACCTATACATGTGTTTGCCCACCTTTTCACTTCCAAGCCCCCATTTAGCCCCCATTTTGTGAAAGTGAAAATGAAAATGAGTGGAATAGTATTTTTTTGAAAAATGAGTGGTTGAAAAGGAAGGAAAAGTTTTTGATTTATGTATAATATTATTTTATGAAAGATTGTGTGGTTGATAATAAAAGAGAGAAAAATGAAATGTAATGGAATGAAAATTAATGGGGGCCAAACGGGTGCCAAGTGTGTCATAGGTGTTGGAGGTTTAATTATGAAGAAAAGAAGCAAAGAGATGACAAAAGTTGATAAGTGCTCAAGTGAAATCATAAAAGTTAAAAGAAGAAGAGTGGAAGGTTATTAAAAAAAAACAAAAACAAAAACAAAAAAAACAAAAAAGAATTTTTTTTAATTGATTTTGGGGATTGAAAGTAATAAAGAATGTGTTGATGTGATCCATTTAGAAGCTTGATGCTACACTTGGCTATATGCTTGGAAGTCATTGAATCTTTATATCCTCATTTTCATACGGCCTAACCCAAACCACATTACAACCCTTTATATTGATTATTTTGATCCCAAGTATGGTTGTGGTAAGAAGTGGATGAATTCTCATTTGGAAGTATGCCTATCACAATATCAATATTTGTTTGTTGCTTATTCATAAATATTTAAGCCTCCAAGTCATGAATACATACCTTTTCTCAGCTCCATTGAGAGAAACCCGAACTAAACACTTTGACACATTTGGCAAGTGTTTTTCATATCTTGATGATCATGGCATTGTTAAGTTCTTGTAGTGTTGAGTTTGAAAGGGACACGGCATGTGGTTAAATTGATACTTAATAATTTCACTTGTATCACAGTCTAATCATTCGTTTACTTGTTCTGCCTTGAATTGCTAGGGACTAGCAATAAGTAAGTTGAGGGTGTGATAAGAGTGTAAAATATAATATTTTCTCCTTTTAATTATTGCATTGGTGTGATTATTTGATACCAAAATGCACTCATTATACTATACTTTGATTCAGATTGCATTTTAGTAGAAAATGTAAGATTTAGAAGAAAATAGCGAAAAGGGATGACAATGGAAGAAAGTGAAAGTTTAAGGACCAAGTTGCAAATAATCTAAAGATGACACGATGATGGAATGATGATTCGAGAAAGTAGGAGTCCATTTGGTGCAATTAGAAGTCAAAAAAAGTTAAATATGACCATAACATATTTACAAATCAAATTTCACCCGCATAAAGATTTTTCAAATTTTTAGCCAGAAATTGAAGTCCACTTTTGACTCAGTAAATGTCAGAATTTGAAAAAAGTTAATTTAGCAAAATTGTAACCTTTGTGTTATCTTTCCAACGCACTTTGAATTGCCTTAATTGGACATCGGGAGAGAAAGTTATGGTCAAAATACTGAAAATAGTTTCACAGAAAATTCTAACCAAAAATTTAGTTTCCTTATTCGGTTCAACCACTTTTGGAAACAACTTGGCACACGGTTTTAACCCCAAATCAAGAGAGAACGCCCCCCAATCATCTCCGATCTCTTTTCTCTCATCTTGGACACAAGAACTCCATGGAAGGTTAAATATTTTGATGAAGCCACGAAGGATCTTGACCGGATTTGGGGATTTTAACATTTTTTCATTCATGTAACATGCTTTTCATTGTCGAATAATTCTGGGATTTAGATTTCTACGTTATTATACTTTTGAATTTTGTTTAGCTTTTATTAAATTGTTCATGGATTCAATTATGTTTTTTCCATTGAATGATGAAAATATTTGTTGGATTTAAACTTCAATTGATTTATTGATGTGATTTGATTATTGTTTTATGCTTGAGGTATATAATTGTTTCTTGAATCGTATTTCAATAAATCAAAGAGGAATATGTTTTTAGGAAGCCTAAATCCTAGAATTATAAGTGAAATTAAATTGATCTAGGTTTTCTTCATGAATTTGTTTTGAAGTGGTTTAATTCTTATTAGATTTTTTATAGAATTAGTCATGCTCTTTCTATAGTTTGATCGAATATTTATTGAATTCCAATTTAAAATAATCTCATTGGTGCGATTCATTACTGCCTTATGCTTGATGTATATGATCGCTTTTGAATCTGATTTCAATAGATTAAGTGGGAATGTATTATAGGAACCTAGATTTTTTAGTAAGATACATGAATGATTGGTGTTGATTGATCCAATCTAGGAGAGTGAATTCCGGTGCTTCACTAATCTCGCATATTCATAATTGAATCTCATTCCAATTGACAAATTATTTTCACATAATTCACGAAATTCTAGTTCGGTAAATCCTTTAAACAATTCGTCCACTTCCCTGTGGAATCGACACTCTATAGTTATGCTATAACTACCGCGTTATTCTTTGGGCGTAATCAAGTCGTCTAAACTAATTTAGACAAATGGATCGAAAAATTAAATAATCAATTAATCAAATTATTCAATTATTTAATTAGCGGTTGTATTTAATTAAAATCAAATTTTAATACCAAATTAGAGTTCAACTCCAATTCCACAATTATAGGGCAATACTATTTAATTGAAATTACATTTCAATTAAATATCAAATTAGAGTCCAACTCTAATTACAATACTTACGGCGGTTGAATTTAATTAAAATCAAAATTTAATTAAATAGCAAAATTAGAGTCCAACTATAATCCTAAGATTTTAGGGCAAATTTATTTAATTAAAATTAAATTTTAATTAAACACATATTAGAGTCCAACTCTAATTTTAAGAAAAAGTTAGGGTGAGACAATTTAGTTAAAATCAAATTTTAATAAAATATCAAATTAGAATCCTATTCTAAATTCAAGAAATGCTAGGGTGAATTATTTAATTTAAATCAAAATTTAATTAAATATTAAATTAGAGGCCAACTCTAATTCCAAGGTAATTTTTGGGTAAGACAATTTAATTAAAATCAAATTTCAATTAAACATCAAATTAGAATCCAATTCTAATTTCAAGAATATATTTGAGTGAGTAATTAATTAAAATCGAATTTTAGCTAAGTATTAAATCGAAGTCCAACTCTAATTTAAATTGAATTAATATTCTAATATAGGATAGCACTCCTAAATAAAATAAAAAATTTTAATTGGGGTCAAAGTTTAATATTTAAGTTAAAATCCAATTTTAACGAAAATATAAAATGTCGTCAACTTTAAATTAGATTTTAAACGGGTCAAATTTGAAATTTTAGGTCAAACTTATTTGAAAATAAAATTTAAAACCTTTCATATTCTATATCAAAACACCTTTTGGAAACTTGCAATTTGACCCATTTCAAAATTACACGCAAGGTCGCACTATTTTAAAATTCGCATACAGGCCCTTCATTTAAAATTTTTAAACTGAACCCTTTTCAAATAATTGCATGCAGGAGGCCTGCAATTAAACTAATTGCAACAAAGCTCCCGCCTCCAATCCTCTCACACTCGGTTTAAGAAACCTAGAATAATTCACCCTTTTCTCTTTTCTTCATTGTCAACTCTTCCTACTAATTTGGCGGCGTCGACAATGGCGCCACCCCCAATTACCTGGCAAGACATGTCGACTAAAGGCGGTGGGCTCTTGCCAGTGTGCTGCTGTAGCAGCGGCAGTGATGTCGTGCAACATGCCGCTGCTGATGCCAGCCCACGCAGGTGGGTGCGAGCGGTGCACCGCCGACGCCATGCCTACTACCTTGTGCAGATCCAAAAATCCTTTTTTTATTTTTTATTTTTTTCGATTTTCAAAATCAAATTTTGAATATCAAAAATATAATTTTTCTTAATTGCTAGAAACAAGAAAATAATTACAATCAACTTCCCAAACATCAAAGCAATTTCTAACAAAAATAAAGTAGTCTCTGATATCATTGTAGGGAGTCTACTTAAACATTAGCGAAAATTAAAACAGATTTCAATTCTCACCAAGAATCCCTCTTTGTTTAAATAAAAATTGTACATTTTACAAGATTTGCAAACTCCTTTGTCATTCTTTCTTTTCAACGATCTTGATTCACCATCCACGGTTATCCAGTTGTCCAGCCACCAACTACGATCTACACAAAAAACAAAATTGTAGGATTATGGTTTTCTTCTCATGCTAGCAATAATAATAAATCTCCACCAAATTGTAAACCCTAATAACTTATTTATGCCCCCGTTTGGCCCCCATTTTCTGAAAATGAAAATGGGGGGAATAGTAATTTTTTGAAAAATGAGTGGTTGAAAAAGAAGAAATTTTTTTTGATTTACGTGTGATATTATTTTATGGAAGATTGTGTGGTTGAAAATAAGAGAGAAAAATAGAATGTAATGTAATTGAATTTAATGGGGGCCAAACGGGGGCTATATAAACCCAAACAGGTTTGGCTTGACCTAGTCCATGAATTGATTAATCCAATTAATTAATTCGGGCCTATAAATAAACAACCCAGTTAATTAATTTATCCAACACTTGTTAAATTAATTAATTGATAAATCACAATCTTTCAGTTCTTCTTTTTGTGTGCAACCCATCAGGTTCCTGATCATGATGCCTAATGACGTGAAATATTATTTTGATCTAATCAAAATTGATAAGTTAAAACACCTTTTTTATTTATCACCAATTCACACTGGCTGTTCCAGATTGACATTTAGCAATGTGTCAGGGCAATGCATGTGACGAGAAATGTCACGTGGTATGACAAAATCAAACTCGTTCGTTTACCGTGAAACTATAATTCCTTCGTTAATATGATCCGATCAATTACGAGATATGAAAGTGTGTCAATCTCGATTCGATCATATCTTTTACTCCTCAATCTCGATTCGATCATATCTTTTACTCCTCAATCTCGATTCGATCATATCTTTTACTCCACTATTAGGTCAATATAAGTCGAAAACTCATTTTCCTCTTTTAAGTACACATTGGCCAAGAATTCCGTCATCTACTTAATTGAATGAAATGCAGATCATAATCTCTTACTATCTAAGAGTGACGAATCATTTATTGGTCATTCACAACCTTCATACGATTCTTGACATACCTGAACGATGCCGTATTAGGAGCCCTTAGCAGAGCAACATCCAACACCGTCAAAGTATAACTGTCCTCATATAAGGTATTATGATGACCTCAAGTCAAGTGACCATTCCCACTAACACTCAAATAATTATTCATGTGAAATCTCTAGACGGGTCTTCAATGTATAACAAAACATCAACATGTTCATTCAAGTGTCACCACACTTTAGCTTGTGAAATCAACTACTAACTTCACAAATAAGAATGCCACCCGTGATGGTCTATCCATAATAACGATATTCGTATCTCTTTATTACTTACGACCATGAACGATTTAAGATTTAATCATATGTAATTTGTATCTCACAATTACAACTCCTTGTGATTAACAAATTACGAAGATTTGAATTTATGAACTCTATTATTTAATTTAATTATCTATTAATTAATTAATAGATCTACTATTAAATTGTATTAATTATATATTAAAAATATTTATGTCCAAGTTTGATTGGACTTAGGGCATAACACTTACAACAACAAGAACGTTATTTTTTTTTTCTTTGATTTGATCTTAGATTTGATCTTATATAATAAATGAGAAGCATCTACAAATATTTAATTTCATCTTCTTCCTATAATGCAGAGCAATGTACCCAAATTGAAGTAGAGTCACAAAACATGTCCGACAACATGGTCGGCAAGAAGTAGGCAATTTCAAATGGCAATTTGAAAACTGATATGGGACTAATTTGGTGTTAGAAGAGTGGGAATTTGTGTTGTTGAAAATGTGGGAATTTTTGTGGTTTCAGTTTGTGAAATCACAGTGAGAAGCAGGCAGTTTATGTAATCTGAAATGTTTTGTTTAAAATGATGGTTGGACTATTTAAAATGTGGGAATTTCTGTTGTTTATGGCAATTGATATTCACCTTGAGAAGCAGGCAGCGTAAAACGAATTTAGTTGTGTCATAATGGTTGAAGAGTTACATTCACTTCCATAGATTTGAAAATTGAAAATGTCCAGCTATATAATGCCATTTGATTGCTAAAATTCCGAAGGAACCGCTATTGCACTAAAGAAATCATTCTTTATCTCTTCGACTACTTCAAAGAAATGGTTGATACCGCCAAAAGAAACTACGTTCAATGGCTTCAATATCACCACGTAACCCAGGAAAGTGAAAGGGTCCCTGCTCGGATGACTCGAATGGGATCCCTTTAACCACTTGGTCTCTCTTACATCCTCCTCGATGTATTTTTTTTAGACTGTACCATCTCACTAAGCCTGAGATGAGAAGAATAGGATGTAGATTATACGATAGTTTATGCAAGGCAACCATATATTTTGACATAAATCTAGATGATAGACCAAACTAAATATAACAAACTTGTCAGGGATCTCTACAAAAATATAAAAGCAAATGCTGTCCACAAAAACGTAAAGAGAAAATTAAGTGCTAGTCCAATCAAATCTCTTTTTCTTCTTTGTTTAATGCCATTGTTTATCCACAAGAAACCCTCAATTATTTTTTGAAAAAGGACGGTAAAAAGCTCAGAAAATTACAAAATTTATAGCGACCCAAGGCAAAATCAATATGCTATCACAAAATAATAATAATAATAATAATAATAATAATAATAATTAATTCCAAATAATCAAACACTAAACCATTTCACATTAATCGATAATTGAATCATCGATGAGATATACGCAAAGGATTCAGCCCACACACACGCAGATAAGTAGTGAAATCTACCCATTTTATGTCCAGCAAAAAGCAAGGTATAGAACTTTGAAAATTCCGAACCAAACAAAAAAAATGAAGAAATCCACCAAAACAGAAATGAAAACCATTTCAAAACAACGCATAGTCAAGTTAAAGATGCCATCGTACATTTGTCTCAGTCAACCTGCTCATCGTCGCTGACTGGCCGTCGATCATCAGAGGATTTTAATTAGACAGAGTATTGTGTGACGGTTTCTTGTGCAAACAGAAGGTTTTGAGGAATCAGATGAGATAGGGGCTTTTTGGGGATTCTATCAAAATTTTTAACCCATTCTTTAATGGCCACGAGAAATTGAAATTCAAACAATGCCAACTCAGCATTATGGACAAGCTGATATACAAAGTAATGTACAACCAACATTATCCTAACTAGAGCTAACCTATCTTCAGTCTTATCTTTATTGTAAACTGAGGTACTATTCCCATCATCAAATTTCTTCTCCTTTGATTTATTTTTCTTTCTATAACAACCTTTAATAAAATGTCCTAGTTTCCCACGGTAGAAATATTTCTTACCAACAGTCTTATTTTTAAACTTACTCTTGTCATTCCATTTGTTTTTATTTTCATTAAAGGTCTTAGAGTGATAATTAGGTTTACTAGAACCCTTTCCTTTTACTAGCAGAGTTGTGATTTTCCTTAGCTTCAGATTTACTTTCTAGAGCTTTATTCGTTAAGGCATCTATAATTGCAACAGTAGTAAGTTCTGCCCTCCCATACTCTAAAGCAATCTTGATGTCTCTATATCTGTCACTAATGAAGTTCAATAGGACCATAGCCAATTGATTTTTTGAAAATTTTTCATCACAGTTGGCCAAGTTTTGGGTAAATTTTGTAAACTTATTCAAGTTGTTATCCAAATCAATTGAGGGATCCATTTTAAAAGAAAAAAGTTGTTTTAACAAATAACATTTGTTTAGAATTGTCTTGGTCACATATTGAGAAATAGAATTTATTTTAATTTACAGTTAATCATCCAAACTGATAAGATTTGCATTTATTGGAATGTTGGAATGTAGTGGAATGATTATAGTACTCTTTATAATTTTAAAATTGTGAAAGAGATATAGTACTTTTTCATAATCTTAAAATTTTCATAGGAATAGATTTAGAGATAGATAGATATATAAGAATCATGGATGAAAATAGCGGCGTCCAATGTCTTACCCTTCTTGGGGTCCAAAAATTGCTAAAAAATTATGTCTTGATTGATAAAATATTGATCGTGACTCAACTTGCAGTAATTTTGTACTAAAGTATAAGACATATAGTCACATCATTATAGCAAACATAAAATTACCGAATAAAATTATTCTCACAACTAACATAAATATTGTTACAAAATCATTTTAATAGTTTTACGCTATTAATATAAGATGCGCGGTGTGTTCTAATGATTTTTTTTTTAATATTCTTATAGTAAAATGTATCGTCAATATCAATATAAAACATTTAAAATTATCATTATCTAATGTCATAAAAATCAAATATAAAACAGCTATAGTTTTTAGCCAATAGAATTTAATTCATGGCAATGCTTGTAGCCTTTTTCTTTTACCAAAATTCAAGAAATGTTCAACCACTTTTTACCATAATTTATGCTGCGTAAAGTTTTTTTTTTTTTTTTGGTCCAAATATAGCATTACATTTAGTCCATGGTGTTGCCCATGCATGTGAAGTGCTTAAAAACAACTTGCCAAGCATCCAAATGCAAGCAAATTGATCCAAGACAAGAACTAAAGTTCATCAGCTAAAAACAAAGTTTTAGAGGATAATAAATCAGATTTTCTTGATAAAATGCTGGTACAATTCATTTCTTACAAGAAAAGTCCACATATGAGATTTTATAAAGCTTTATGCCAAAGGCTATGAATGAGAAATTTATGACAACCTTTATTATTATTATTATTATTATTATTATAAATCTATGTTAGGCAAATTATTGTCAAACGACCTTCCCGGACTATGATGTAACTCTATAATTTTTCCAATCGGTACCGACCTAATGATTGAACGGAAATCAACACCAAAGTAAAATAACCCGGCACAAAAACTGTTCGAGCCATTTGAAGTAGCCTAATTTTAATGAGTATTGCTCATAGCCCATTTCACTTACTTGGATGGCTAACATTGGGTAACCCACTTAACAGCCCATTTATATCCATAATGGGCTCAACCATCATTGTACCCTAATTGATACCTATATATATCTTGGGCTGCCCATTCTTTTAGTCATATGAACTTACTCTCCGTCTTCCTTCACTGTGTGCGAAAATGGGCGGCTCTCTATGATTCCTCCCTACTATTTTCTTCACTGCCTTTGTGGTTATATTTTATCTTTGTCATTATACCTTCCATTGCACATGTGGGTAAACAAAAGGAAGAACCGTGAGTTAAATGTGGTTTAAGGGATTTCGTGTGATTTCATATTGGTGTTGGTTACAGGAGAAATTGAGCTTGGTTAAAGACTCACCGTAAGACTTTTCGACCAGAAATCAACTTTGACCCCTTAACGCTTGATCTAAGATCATTGGTCAATTGCGTTGGAATATCTACTGAATCTTAAGGGTGAATAGTGGTGGTCCTAAAGCAGCAGATTTGCAACTCTCGATTTTACGAACTTCAGACGTGTCCGCTCTCGTAAATTGTCCTATCTCGATTAAATTTCTGTACTAGCACATTATCGTGTGGGGGTAACAATAGGATTTGGGATTACCGTATGGGTAACCATGGCTTGTGCTAGAAATTAGGAATTGTTTGCTTTTACATGATCAAAATATTTTGTTCTTTTGATAAAATATATTTATTTTCTTTGTGGTATACCTCTAATTTGGAATTTCATTGGTTGAAATTGTCATATTTTTGATGACATACTTCGTTGTTGCCTAGTTAATTTTGTTAGAATACCTATCCGTACAAACATTTCCTTGATCTGAGATTTTGAATCTCGCGAACTCTAGGAATCTAGAGCGATGTATATTGTATATGACTCTAGGATTACTTTGTGCAGCTTGATTGTGATTATGTGCATTTTTGGATTGAAATGTAAAAATGACGATTAAAAATTTTGAATTTAAAATCTTTTAACAGAAAAAGGTGACTTTCTTATATGGCAACAAAAGATGAGAAGTATTTTGGTCCAACAAAAGGTTTCAAAAGCTATTAAAGGCAATTTTCCTGCTGATTTTTCAAAAGAACAAAAAGAGTGAGCCAATAAGCTTGCCTATACTTCCTCGTTTTACACTTGTTTGACATTGTTTTTAGGAAAGTGGGTAAACTGAAAACCACAAAAGAACTTTGAACAAAATTAGAAGAATTCTATTTCCTCAAATCTACTCCATACAATCTTTACTTATTTGATCATTTTTTTCAGTTTTGAAATAGATCCTTTAAAGGATTTTGATGACACTTTAGACATTTTTAACAAATTTGTTTAAAATATTGTTAACTGTGAAGAGACAGTCTCAGAAACCTATAAAGTTATGATTTTTCTTAATTCCATATTTGACACTTATAAAAGAGTTAAAAATGCAATCAAGTATGGTAGAGATACTTTAACACCTGAAATTGTCATTGACTATCTCAAAGTAAAAAGTTGGAGATTAAAGCTGAAAAATATGATAAGAAGGCAATGAGATTCACATGGTGAGGGATAGAGCTCAATTTAAGCAAAAATAGTCATTAAGGGTTCCATGATAGTGACGAGTCAAGTAGTAATGGAAGTAAAAAGAAGAGAAAGGGCAGGTCTAGATCAAAATCTAGGACTAAAGTTAGAAAATGTTATGGTTGTAGGAATACGAGGCATTTTATAAAAGACTACTATAAAGAGAAGTGTAAGTTGAAGGGAAAAGAAAGATGAAGTAAATGTCGTCTTCCATTTCCAAAGTAGATAATGGTGAAGTGTATATGATTACAAATCCTATTGCTTATCCTGCTGAATTGAATCTAACTATCAATTATCGTTTGCATGAGTGGATACTTGAGCACATCTTTTCATGTAACATCACAAAAAGATAGGTTTGAAACTTTACATGAATCAAATGATGGGCATATTGTGCTATATGACAATTTAGCTTATATTATTGCTGGGATTGATGATATTACCTTAATATTCGACACTGATTTTGTGTATACTTTAAAATATTTTAGGTACATTCCTTAACTATCTTATTTTTAGTAGGAAGAATTGAAAATGCTTGACTTCACTAGTAAAATTAGAGATGGAACTTTAAAATTGTTGAAGGGTTTTCCACTAAGAGAAATGACATTTGCATCGCTACTGGATAAGTGATAAGAGGTCTAGATTCCTTTATCTCTTCTGCCAAGGTTGATTACACACACACACACACACACACACACACACACACACACACACACACACACACATATATATATATATATATATATATATATATATATATATATATGGCACAATAGACTTGCACCGTAAGTATTAAGGGTCTTAAACTCCTTAATGAAAATGGTGCTTTTGGAAATGATCATTGTGTGCTTGGTAAACACCATAGACCTTCATTCTCCATGAGTGTTTATAAAACTAAAAACATTCTTAAATATGTGTATTCCTATCTATGGGGTTCTGCTAGTAATCCCACATCAGATAGAAATATATATTTATTGTCTATTATAGATTATTACACGAGAAAGTTGTGGGTTTATCTTTTAAAGGATAAGTCTGATACTTTCCACAATTTTAAGAATTGGAAAGGACTATTGAAAACTAAGTTGGCAAAATGATCAAATTTTTGAGAATTGATAATGGTCTAGAGTTTTGCAACAGTGAATTTGGAAATATGTATAAAAGGAATGAAATAATAAAGCATAAGACTGTTTCTTACACTCTCCAGCAAAAAAAAAGTAGCTAAGACGATAAATAACACTATACTCGATAAAGTGCGTTGCATGATGCTAAGTTCTGATGTCCCAATGTCATTTTGGGGAGAAGCTATTATGACTGTATGTTATTTGATTTTTTTGACTTCGTCTGCTACATCGAATGGTGACACTCCTCATGAAAAATGGTTAGGTAAACTAAGTGATTAATTTGTGCTTAGAACTTTTGGCTATGCTTCTCTCATCAGAGCAAAGGAAAGATTCAACTTAGAGCTAGGATATACGTTTTTCTAGGTTACCCAGACGGTGTTAAGGATTACAGATTGTGGGATAGAAGCCAAATGGGATTTAAGATTATTATAAGTAGAGATGTCACATTTAACAAAGTTGAAGTGCCTTGGCTTAAGACTGAATCTGAACCTGTGAGTGAAGAAGAAAAAGGTGAAGAAAGAGACTAGTTGAAGGTGGAGTTAAGAAATCTTAACAGTACTTACCACCCCGAATAAGGTGGA